CTGTATGGCTCTTTGGCTAGAGGTTTCCCTCTATAATAAAGTTGACTAAGCATCCTTATCCTTAAAAACAAAAGCTACCAAAAGCTACCTCAGTTTCTTATGTGTAGAGAAGGGATGCTGATAAATGCTATGCCTATCCACAAACATTTATCATGTAAATGTAAAATATTAATAGTAAAATATTAATATCAGTAGTCAACCTTTTTGAGTACTTGCTTTATAGCAAGCATTGCACTAAATATTTTTACTTTTTTTATATTTTGTTAATCCTCACATGAGGATATTTTTTCCATTGCTTTTCAGAGAGAATGGAAGGGAGGGAGGGGAAAGAGAGAGCTGAAGAGAAAGAGATAAACACTGAAGTGAGAGAGACACATTGACTGGTTGCCTCCTGAACACACCTTGACAGGGGGCCAAGAGTGAACCCAGATGTGTAAATATGTACCCTTGACCAGGAATTTGGTGCTCAGGCGATGCTCTAACCGCTGAGGATAGTGGCCAGGGCTGTACTAAATGTTTTGGGCACACTATTTGATGTTATCTTCACAACTACCCTATATAGGAGATACTTTTAGTCTATAGACAAAGAATCAGGTGCTTGGAGAAAATTTGTGCTATGCTTACAGTTATGTGTCTAATTAGTGGATGAGGCAGAGTTTGAACTCATGACATTTGACCGTAAAGCCTACTCTGTTTCTTCTCTATTGGCAGGCATTTTGTAGACAACCTGGAAAGTTCAAAGAAATAGGAAACCCAGTCTCTGGCCTAAAGTTCTCATACAGCATAGAGAACAACCATGCTTGGCAAGGGGCCCGCTTGGGCCCATTTATGCCTCTGCCACAAGAATAGGACAGATAACCTAAGCTGGTCACATCTGTCCTTGAGAATTAGAAAGGGTAGGGGTCTTCAATTTAAGGAAATTGGGTTTTATTTGGAGGCCACATTTAGCTCAAAGCTTGCCTCCCGTGTCCATGACCAGCAGAGAACAATGGAGACACGTTTAAATAATCCAGAGACCACCTCAGGAAGAGCCAGAGCTGTAGATCACTGAACTTGACTCTTTTCCTGACTGAGAATTTTTCACTTCATCTCTCCACTGTCTTCATTTTTACTCACCTATTCTGGGGAAATAAGTGGTTCTAAAATTGGTTTCCCAAGTGTTGGTTTAATTAGTGAGTGTTTCCCAGTTTCGCTTTCTCTAGTTGTATAGAATCCCTATAGTTTATTCCATGTCCCTGCAGAGAGAGAATTAAAGTTCAACCAACCATGTGTCCGCTGCTGCAAACAACAATGGGAGGAAGGCATTCAGAGACCTGGACACAATTTGGACCTGTCCCTTTATCAACTGCTGCTCTGACCAATGGGGTAGATGACATCTAGCGGCATCAAAGGCGGGTTTGTCTCATCCCTTCAGATGGAAGGTGGATTAATTCTTTTTGTTTTTTAATATATTTCTTTATTGATTTCAGAGAGGAAAGGAGAAGGAGAGAGAGATAAAAACATCAATGATGAGAGAGAATCATTGGCCAGCTGCCCCTGCACTACCCCCACTGGGGACCTAGTCTGAAACCCAGGCATGTGCCCTTGGCTGGACTTGAATTCTGGACCCCTTAGTCCACAGGCTGATACTCTATCCACTGAGCCAAGCCAGCCAGAGCAAAGGTGGCTGAATTCCATTCTCTCCAAGATCACTTAAGGAATCTGCCATTTCAACCACAATGCTCCCATATTAGGACTGTGTGAAAAAACAATGCTCATAAATTCTGTTAAATAATCCAGAGACCACCTCAGGAAGACCATCTTTAACACAATCTACACCCAAGAGGAGGAGGAGGAGGAGGGGGACAGAGTTTATGTCTTTTATCTTTCTTTTTACCCTTAAAAATGTGTGACTTGAAAAGTATCCAAAGAGAAAGAGACATTAAAGTCGCTGATGTTTTCCTACCAACCAGAGCACCCTGTCCTTGGGGTCATGTGTAGGAGAGAGAGGGACCTTTAATGGAGAGGTGTCTGTGGACACCCACCATAGTTTGTCAGTTTGCAGATGCTAATGGAGCCGGGCTTGGTGACTGAAGGGGAAAATGGAATATGAAAGCAAAATGAAAGAGACCCTTGAAGCAAGCATGTCATTTCTAAATGAAGGTTTCATGCAAAGGGATTGAGTCTTTTCACAGCTGCAAATGGGATTTTTAAATAAGATGAAATAAAAGGACACTTTGGCTCGTTGCAGGTTCAGTAATGAAATACAGTTTTCCTAATACCATGGGACCCGCATTTCTCCCTGCTTGACGGTGCTATTCCTTGACGTACAAACCCGTATTTTCTCAAGTCAGCATTTGATGATGGATGTCAAAATGCAGGCCATGTATTATGCATATAGCATTGCCGATTTAAGGTGTTTACTTGTCAAGCTGAAGAAATTCAAAAACGTCACATTCACTGTATGTGCGCAGCTGTCACTTGCAGTTTTTCATGCTTTTGAACGAAACTTCTGATGAAAACAGTTTAGTTTCCCCTTCACTCTTTGGGGGCAAAGAAACAGCTGGCATTCTACATGCATGTTCTTGATTATGGGGTTGGCTGAGGCACACATATTCCAAAGTTCAGAAAGGTGGACACTACCATGCAATTGAAAATGACTTACCCGGTACATAGTGTGTCCATATAAAGAAAATCATTAAATGCAATCAGGGAATGAAAAGTAAATAAAACTTTTTTTTTCGTTCTGTCAGTATGGCATTCAATAGCATGAAATTTGTATACGGAAGAGCAGAAAATAGGCAAACATTTTTATCTTTTCCTGGCATTTCGCGCATCACGCACCTCCCAAACAGGCAGTTAGTGAGCCCCTGTCACTTCCTTCCTGAGAGGGAGTCGCACACAGCATCATGCCAGAGTCAAACCCATCTTGTCACATCACGGCAGTGTAAGTGGGGAGACTGGCCATGCAATCTACTTGGAATTTTGTCCTTGGGAACCTAACAAGTGACTTTGTGTCTGTAAATCCCTAACTCATTGATGAGCCCACATAGCAGTCCTTCAAGGGCAAAGAAGAAAAGCCAGAGTGAATGTGTCTGCCTGGCCTCTAAGGTAGAGGAGCAGAAGGGGCCTTGCAGCCAGCACAGAGCTGAGGTACACACATACCCACTTGCCACGTGCTTGTCTCGGTTAAGTTAATTTTCACTGCATGAATGTGTGAGGCAAATGAATGTCTCATGTTCATATGTGTCTGTGCACATCCTTAAAGAGCCATTCAGCCTAGCTGGGACAATTTCTCACCCTCACTGATCTTGAAGTTGTGGCTGGCTTAAGCTCATCCTAATATGTACTTGGGATTTGGGTCTGACACCCAAAGAAACCCAGACCACAGAAATCATAAATCAAATAGGCTACTTTCAAGTTCACTGTGCCCACTTCTGTGTTAGGCACACTGGGAAGTTCACGGGTCCACTCTGAGCAAGTGGCATATGCATCAGTCAGGATGATTTTAGTCTCAAGTATAAAACAAAAACCAACTAATTTTAAAAAACAACTAATAAACAAAAGGCATACACACACACACATACATATATACACACACACACACACACACACACACACACATATATATATATATATATATATATATATATATATATATATATGTATATACCATCTTACCTCAGAATTTCTTCCTACAGGAGATTTTATATATAGATATGCAGATATGTAGATATATAGATATATAGATATGTATATAGCTTGTATATAATTTATTTAAATAAAATTTATATATCTGATTTACTTATACAAAATTATATAAAATCTTATATACATATAATCATATAGTTTACATATATAATTATTTATATAAAATTTATATATATAATTAATTTATATGAACTCTTATTATTCTATACATATAATTATATTCTATACATGTATGTGTATATTCTATACATGTATATGTATATTCTATACATGTATATGTATGTGTATGTGTATATGTATATGTGTATGTGTATGTGTGTGTATGTGTATGTGTATGTGTATGTGTATGTGTATATGTATGTGTATGAAATCTCCAGTAGGAAGAAATCCTGAGGTCAGTTGGTTTTGGGTTCCAGAGTTGGTTCATCAGGAACTCTTCCTGTTGTTCTGTCTTTCAATCATTCAGTTAGGCTGATATCATTAATCTGACTTTGTCCTCAGCTGGTTCCCATCCTAGTTATGAGTTGGCTGCCACAGTTCCAGGCACTTAAGGCACAAAAGCAATTCCAGTGGATTAAAAGAGAATCTCTCTTCCTATGTGATTCTTTTTAAGAGCAAGGAAACACCCCCTAAAAGACCCCAAGCAGATTTTCAAACACTTCCCCTTGGCCAGAATAGTGTCAAAAACCTAGGTAAGCCTCGCTGGCAAGAGAATAAGCTATCAATAGGCTTATGATAACAAGACAGGTTAGATCATACTGTGCTGACAACAAACAAATCTCAGTGTCTTAAAGCAATACAGATTGCTTGTTCCCTCACTCAGAATGCTTTGTGGGTCTGGGCTGCTGTCCAGGGCTGCTTCCCAGCTTTCTCTATGGTTGCCATGGTCTGGGAGGACAGGCGGTGGGTTATTTGTATCAGAAGTGATGATATGCAGGGTTCTGTTCACTCTCCGTAGGTCAGAACATTTCCTAAGTTGCTTGGTCACATCCAACTTCAAGGAGGCCCTGGGCTGTAATTCTCACGTGTGCCTGCATAAAGGGGGACAAAACTCTGTGAGCAAGACCAACAATTGTTGCAGAGACTGGTTTTTCGAGAACTATCAAAGGGGGCTACAATTTTTTCCAATAGTCTCTTACTCTGTTCTTCTAAAAACAATTCATCAGAGTATCCTGGGAGTGTGAATTGTTGACCTATAAATAATGCACATGCTACATTTTTTTAAAATTGTGTATATACCCTGAACTCTCATGATTTCCAAATTTTCCACAAAACTGAATTTTCTCCCTTCTCTTTTTCCTTCCCACCAGGGTTCACACCTCCGGGAATGGACAGAACCTCGCCGGACAACAGCCCAGTGCATGGGATGTTGCGTCAGCCATCCATCACAACTGGGGTCAACATCCCCATCATCACTGAACTAGGTAGGAGTGAACGGCAGCCATGGGCAGACTTTTTGGTTCTCTCTTCCAACCATGTCAGATAAGAGGAGGTTGGCCTGTTTTGTTTTGTTTTTAGCTCCTTCAAGATAGTAGACTCTAGTGGGAGTTGTTTAGAGGAGATTGAAGAAAGCATGTGTAGAAATATCAGATTAGCAAAGGGTAAAACTGATTTATGTTTCCTCTGAGATGAATAGAATAGACAGTTTCCTTCATCTGAGCACTGTTTTCAAAGGAATATGTGATGATGGATTTTAAACTGGGGCATCAATCAGGGCAAGGAGAAGAAGGAAGGAAAGGGATAGCCCATGGACTCTTGGTAATTTTCCTGGGAAACACCTCTGGACAGCTCCTATAGTCAGAACCCTCTACCAAGGCATGAAGTTCCAGCTCTAAGCAAACCCCATTTGGAAAACTGGGGAGAAGTGTTGGCCTAATGTGCCATAATGCTACATTTAATCTGTCCTAACGACTTCTCAGACAAAGGCCATGTTCAGTGAATGCCACTCAGGCACAAAAGTGATGGGGATTTGTTTGGCCAGTGGAATCCCATTTTTCACCTGGCCATGACACTCCCTGCTTCCACTATAAATGCCACCTACCTATGGGCCAGGTCCCGGGTCCCTTTACTTTAGAATGTTTCCTCTGTTATTCCCTCACTTTCTTCTTTTTCTGTACTTTCCTCCACTCCCTTTCCCCAACCCTTAAACGCTGTATCCAATTAGCTAAACCTGGCAAGTTGCCTTTGGTATCAGTCAATCAGGAAAAAAACAGTGGGACGCACATTCTAATGATAACTGAACTGGGTAAGAAGCACTGTTTTCCTTTACATCAGTATCTCTTTTGTTCTGTTGTTGGTGTTCCCAGCCGTCATCAGCTTGTTTTTTTATTTCGCCGGCTGCAACAGAAAGGCTACCCCATGGCACTGCTTTGAATGCGTTTTATTTGTGGCTCTGGTTGGAATCGACTGTCTTGTTCTGGCCTTTCTTAATGATTTCCCCCCACACGGCACCAGGGAACCTTTGATCACACCCATCTGACCTGGCAGTTGTTTTCAAAGCATCTCTGCTCTAATGCATTTTCTTTGGCCTGGGCCTTGTGGTTTTTTCTTTTTCGTTTCTTTCTTTCTTCTTTTATTTTCTTTTCCACGTGTGTCCCTGCTCTCCCGCCTTCTCCCTTACACTCCTCTTCCAACACGCTGTCAGCTTGACTGACATGTCTTCACAGCTCTCGGAGGAAGCCAAAGGAAAAATATAAAAATTTTAAGATAAGAAACTTAAGATAATGCCTTCCCTCCAGCTGTTTATTTTCCTTTATTCTGACTTTATTTGCCTTTTCTTTCGCACGAGGCCCTTTCTCAGAAGCTCTGGTTCTGAAGCTATAAAAGCAACAGGCTCCGAGGGGACCTTTTTTTTCTGAAGCAGATTTCAGGAAGGGTGCCAAGAATGAGGTTAGCACCACGGGGGGGCACAGCCCTGACCCCTCCCTGCTGGCCCAGAACCTGCTCTAGGAGATTCAGAGTGGACTGGATCGGGAAGACGAAGGGCTGGGTCATGACTGCATTTGTCAGGCCCTTGCACGGGCGCCCATGACTTGGTTAATTCCTCTGAAAGGCACCCGTCAGCAGCAGGTCTCAGAACTGGGGATTGATCTTCTAAATAGAGACAGCCAAAGTGCTGCTCGGCGGAGGGCTGGACAGAGAGGTGGGAGCACCTGCCTTCAAATGACTCACAAATGAAACTAACATGCCATTTTCTTGGCCCCCAAATATATTTCAAAATAAAAGAGCAGCTTTTAACACAGTAATCGTGCTTGCAAGATGTCTAGGAGTTAAGGGATAAATTGTCCACCACTCAGCACCACATTATTGTAGATGTGGCTATTTATCAGGACAAATTGCCTCGGGTCGTGGAGGATCACACTATTTTTTGTTTTCCCCGGTGGAAGAGGTGTCTTTTCCTGTTTAGAGAAGTTGGCTGGGAGTCTCGGTTTCGGGAATAATCAGCCCCAAATCTTAGTGTTGTCAGAGAGCCAAGGAGCTCCGTCAGGCCCGACCTCTGGCTGGGAAATCCATGCAAACGTGTCCATCTCAGAAGCCTCAGAGCACTTCAGAATTCTCACTTAGGCTTTGCTTTTCCCATTTGGAATTCATGCACTGCCAGCTAGCCAGGACATCTTGACCTATGATAAGTAAAGAGAAAAGAAATAGCTTGGTGCCCTAAATCTGAGGCAAGAATTCAGTCCTTCTTCAATGAGCATCATTGAGTCTCCTGAGGCCTTTGTCCTCACCAGATGTCTCCCCTTAGCTCAGAGAACTTCCCATGTTCCCATGATGCCCATTGCTTGTGCCTTCGACTTTAAGCCCGATTTTTCTAGTGGTCAGACCACCTTGGGCAATCATACAATTGTTCTCTGACCACCTCCCCTCCCCATCCCCCACAGACATTTACTATTTGCCTACTACATGTTTTGAGATGTGTTCTGCATACTCCAACCCAGGCAAATGCAATTTGAGAACCACAGAGGATGCCAAGGTCAAACAAACTTTTAAAATTGTACGGTATATTCCAGTCGTCACCCATTTGGAGAGTTCCAGTCAATGGTAGTGAGTCCAAGCCCCCTAGTAGTCCCGCAGGAAGGACCATTTAAAAGCTGTTCAACCTGCCTGTTTCCCAGTTGAATTTGACCTTGTACCTATTGGGGTGATTGCTTTAATCACCTCTTAGCACCTGCATAACGACTGTTCTGTAACATAGGATGAGGCTGTCCTCCTCCTGAGACTGGGTACCCCAGAACTGTGCACAGGATTTTCACTGAACCCTGGCTCACACCCTAAGTCTGTTACCAGTGACTCAATCCCCAGCTCACTGAAAATTTAGTGTCACCTCTCCCTGTTTTGGCTACTTCCCCTCTAAGTCTAGTACCAGCTCTTCCTCATCATCATGAAAAGAGGTAACTGACACTCCTCCTTTTGGGGTGTCCATACACACTCCCTCCTGAGCTATTACAAGTAATTAAAACCACGACCTCTGCATGTTGTCCCAGGTCACATTTTCTGATTCACAAAGTAGGAAGACTCAACAGTGGCCAACTCACAGTATGCTTGAGGGTACATGAAGGGAGTGGGGAAGCTATGAGTTGACCCTGGTAGGATCCCTGAGTAGGCCTTATGAGCTTCTGAAAGCTGGGGATTTCCAGACGTAAGGAGTGGACTGAAGGTTTAGTGTCAGAAAGGTAATTCTGAGAGCAGCTGACATCTGTCAATATGCTGGCCAAGCAGAGTGGTGTCCTGGCGACCTCATAAGAGGGGCTGTCATGCCCCATCTGCGGAGGGAGAAACTGAGGTGTGCTGTGATGATTGATAGAGGGAGTTAGTGCAGAGCCTGAAGCCAAAGCCTGCTTGACAGATCCTGAGTCTTGCACTTTCACCCTCGAGCCTGTGACTCAGTGCTGCTGAGACCATCGGGACCCGGATGTGATAAAAACTGAGAAAGACCAGAGCCAAGATTTCTCCCCCTTAAAATCTTTCTCTAGGGAAAGTGTCATTTAAACATAATTCCATGCCGAGCTTTTGATCCTATTATCATTTATTCTGATTCATACAATACATAAACAAAAGTTAGAAAAAAATTGTGGGGTTTTTTTTTTTTTTGTGTGTGTGTGTGTGTGTTTGTGTGTGTGTGTGTGTGTGTGTGTTTTGTTTTGTTTTTTACATACCAGAACAAAATATTACTTTGGGGGGAAAAACTACTCTAGGAAAGAGAATTAGCTGCTGATACTTCAGAAAGGAATCAGAAAAAGGAAATCAAATCTATTCTTTTCCTAAAAGCACAATAATTATTCTAGAAACCACGAGTGCTCTCTTCTCCCACCACAGTCTTTCCCCTGCTGCTACTTGCTCTGCAAAACTGATCATTGAAGTTAAGATGGGAATGAAAATTAATTTGTCATTCCATCTTTAATAAGTTAAAGGCATCTCAGTGACACAACCCATCAGTCTGCACGCGCGTGCTGAAGGTGTCCTTGAGGGCACCCAGGGCTGCAGATGCTGAGGCACAGGGAAGACAGCTGTTTAGGAGAGGCAAGGGAGAATGTGGGTATCAGAGGGGCCCCGGATGCAGAGCAAGTCTCTGTGAGCTGCTTGCTGGAGGCAGCCCGCAAACACCCCACTTGGGGTCGCCTTTGTATGAGCATGGCTTGCGGGGTGTCCCCCAGATTCAGGGCTGGGGACACCAGCCACTATCCAGGCGGATCTGGGAGCAGTGCGTGGGCTGTGTCTGTCTGCCTGTGGGTGAATTCTTTGCTCTTTGCCTCTGCTGTGCTCCCGGCCAATGGCTCTTCACTCTTAATAGGTTGCTTTCTTTTCCTTGTGGCTCAACTTACCATCCAGCATGGCTAATCCTGGCTACTCATCCTTGAAATCTGTCCGTCTCTCAAAGGGCTTGGCTACCAAAAAACACGGCAGGGTGTTTTTCGGTCATGATTCCAAAACTATACCAAAGGACTGGCCAGCACTGCCCGCTGGTCCTCCTGCAGCCTGCCATGGGGCAAGCCTGCTTGAATGCATTGCCCTCCGGGCCTCGAAATCTGGAACAGTCAGGAGGAGCAGTCCCTTGAGCCCCACGGCCCCAACCCCAGACCCATCCACAGCTTCTCTCATGCTTTCCTTTCCAGTGACCGTGCTGTTTCTAAACTACTAGCCTGCTCTTCCTCTGGTTTCGCTGACCGTGTGGCATTTCTTTTTGAGCTAATTCTTATTTCTGCTTTTTCTAGTGAACGATACTAATGTTCAGTTTCTGGACCAAGACGATGACGATGATCCCGACACAGAACTGTACCTCACGCAGCCATTTGCCTGTGGGACAGCATTTGCCGTCAGCGTCCTGGACTCTCTCATGAGTGCGGTGAGTGGGTGCGGGATCCAGGAGCGGAGACCTCCTGAATGAGGGGGTACGGGACTAGAGCATGAGTGGCCGTGGAGCCTGGAAGGGGATCCAGACATTCTTCAAATTATCAAGCACATAAACGTTGATTCAAATTCTTGAAGGTTCAAGGAAGGCTCTGAATAAATATAGGTGAGCACGTGGCTTGTCTCAGGGTTAGAGAGAGATTCCATAAAGAAATAATACACATTTTATATCAAAATCTGAGCAATAAAGAGGGGAGATTTTGTGGGGAACAGTATCCCCCAAAGAGGAAAGCAAATGCAAAGGCCTTGGGGTGGTTGAACCTGACAATCTCAAGGAAGCCAGAGAAAGCCTGTGTGGGTGAACCACAGTGAAAGAGGGATAGGAGGACAAGGCAAGGTTGTTTTGTGTGTGTGTGTGTGTTTGTTGTTGTTTTTTTTTTTTATCCTCATCCTAGGACACACACAGAGAGAGAGAGAGAGAGAGAGAGAGAGAGAGAGAGAGAGAGAGAGAGAGAGAGAGAGAAAAGAGAGAGAGAGAGAGAGAGAGAGAGAGAGAGAGAGAGAGAGAGAGAGAGAGAGAGAGAGATATTTGAGACACATCCATCGGCTGCCTTCTGTATGTGCCCCAACTGAGGATTAAACCTGCAACCCAGGTTTATGCCCTGAACAGGAATTGAACCAGCAACCTTTGGAAGCAGGGAATGATGCTCAACCAACTGAGCCACCAAGCCTGATGGTCTTTTTATTTAAAGAGTGATGAGGAGGGATGAAGGGCTTGGAGCTGGAAAGTGTGATCAGGTGTACATTCTAAGGGGACTGCCTGGACTGGGGTATGGAGGATGGTTCAGGAGGCAGGGTAGCAGCGGGCAGTCTGAGTAGGAGGTTCCAATAGCTCAGACTAGGATAGGGCTGCAGAGAGGAGGGAGTTGTATAGATTTCAGTGGTGTTTGTTGGTAAAATTGAAAGGACTTGGGAATAGATTGAACATGAAGAGAACAAAGTGTCAAGAGTGACTCCTAGGTCAGTGCCAGTCACTGAGCCATAGTTGTGCGTGAGGACCAGGAGTGAGGACCTGATATGAGGGCCAGACCCCAACTGCGCGGACTGGAGTGGTGGCAGAGAGCGGAGGGACCAAAAGCATCTTTAGTTTCTCTATAACTTGATGTGCAGTGTTTTATTTACTTTTGAGACTAAAAGTAAAGAAGAATTGAAAAATAGGTCCCAGCTAATGGAGCCATCCTGAACTATAAAAGCAGACATTTGAATGGATCATAACCTGCGGACTGTGACATGTTCCCACTGAGTGTCTTTATTTATTATATAGAAAAGGCTCTATATTTTGGAATTCTCAAGTTCGCAATTTTTGAAAATGCAGACATAGGCTGGATAAACACTGACCTTTGGAGAATCCGTGAAAAAGAGTTTTATTGAACACATTAAGATCATAAACATAACTCAGAGAGGTTTTATACACATATATTTCTTAAAGAGCTTAAGAAGGCTATTCTCCTGAACAAGTTATACAACTGATATGCTAATTATGCGTTATTCTCATCTATTCATTAAAGACTATCCCTGAAGGACCTCTATTTGAATAAAGAAAAAAAATAAAGCTTTTAAAGATTTTTTTTAGGTTATTGTATATTGCTGAATGTGGTCCAACTGCAAGTATATCTGAGTTAAAAATCAGAATTATGGATTTAAAAATAATTATAAAACAGCATTCATCTGAATTAAGGCTGACTGGGCTCCATGCCATACCACCACTTTCCAAGCCAAGAAGGAAAGGAAGTGGTCCCCAGGGAAGGGCTCTGGGTTTCCCAGGCTGTGGTCTTCCTGGTGGCCTGAGCATACTGAGCCCCGTCTTACCGCCTGCTGGGGATGTGGGGCTCAGTGGGGACAGCCTGCTTCAGCAGGCAGAACAAATGCTGGAAGCTTGTTACACTATGGCATTCTCTGCAATGGTCCTTTCCATCTCCAAATTTCGTTTCCAGCAGATTTCTGTAATTCGTCTCTTTGAAAATGTCATTTTATCGATACTTCTGATCCTAGTTAGAGAGATTATAGAAGGTTGTTCTCACTAGGAGATAATTAAACTTTATTTTTATTTTCAGAATTGCAAATACACTATTAAATATTATTTATAAAGTTTATTAAATTATTATCAAAATTTTAAAATTTATAAAATTATTTATGTTTTGACATACCAGACATTCAGTCTATGCTAGGCAGGACTAGCTTACATAATGTTAAGGCCACTTTTTCATAAATAATTAAGAATTTCAAAATGGTGGCAATATTAAATCAAGTGAGGAACCCTTCTGAGCAAAGGACCTTGAGTGATGACACAGGCCACACACCCATGAAACCAGCTCTGGGTCCAAGGAATAAAGCTGCTTTTGAGCCTCAGAGAACTTCAGCTCTACACAGCCAAGGGGACACATGTTGGGCATGGGGTGGGGATGGAGGCACTGGATCTACACCTTCTGATAAAATCTTATCTGTGATTTCTTTGCATTCCACTCCAACCCTAATTAATGAGAGAGAGAGAGAGAGAGAGAGAGAGAGAGAGAGAGAGAGAGAGAGAGTGTCAAGTACCAAGACAGGGTGGGCAGAAATATAAATTGAGAAACTGAGGCTCCTCCAAGCAGCAGGAGCCAGAGGTAAGCGTCCATCGCAGCCATTCGCTTACAGACTCGTCAGGACATCCACACACGTCTCTTTAGATGATGCTCTCTCTTTCCTAGCACACCTCCTAGAATTGCCATTTAATCACATGTCTAAACATCCCCTGAATATTGTCCTTTATAACTCCACTCCTCCTGCTTCATTTATTAAAATAATAATGTTTTGATTCATCACAGGCAATCCTGGAACAGATAGGGATGTTGCAGACATGGCCTCATGGCTTTCTACCACAAATCCACAGCAGAAACACATGGCAAGAGGGAATAATTATGCTTATGGGCTCATGCCTCTAAGAAGATCATGACTAAAAATTATATATTTTTAGAACACCAACTTGCTGCTCTCTCTCTCTCTCTCTCTCTCTCTCGCTCTCTCTCTTTCTCTCTCTCTCTCTCTCTCTCTCTCTCTCTCTCTCTCTCTCTCTCTCTCTCACACACACACACACACACACACACACACACACACACACACACACACAAGAAGCTTCTCTGTAGTTAGAGATGAAATGGGCACATGGATATCCAGATTTCTTTTCCCCACTGCTACCACTTCCCCCATCCTCATCCTGGATTTGAGTTCCACCGGGAGTCTCCCTAGAAAGAAAAGTCATGAACTCAAGAGCCAAACTGCTTGGATGCTGTTCCCAGTATCCCCAATGTACCGTCTCTGTTCCCTTAACCTCTCTGTGCCTCAGTTTTCTTATCTGTAAAGTGGGGTGATAATAGTCCCTATGTCATGGGACTATTGAGATGATTCAAAGAGATAAGGATGTAAAGTGACTAGTGCAGAACCTAGCACATGGCAAGCTCTATATGTGCTTGTTCTTATTAAGCACTACCTTGGGGCTTACTCAATGCCAGGCAGAGAAGAAGAAAGTGAAGACCAGCCCTCACATTGCCCCAACCTTCATTCTAATCCAAGCAGCAGTAACCAAGTAGGACATGAGTACCATCAGGCAGGGATGGCTGATTTGAAGCACATGAAAGCGTTTCAGTGGGTATGGAGCCCTGTTTTAGCCAAAGTGGTCAGAATCATGCTGCCTCGGGCAGTAACTTGGACACTGACACTGAAAAGTCAGAAGAGACGAGGGAGCCTCATTTTCCCAGGCAAAAAAAAGATGAGGGTTGAAGAGCAGTGATGAGCTGGGCTTTGTTTGTCTGAGGGGATGAGTGAAGAGCACTGTAGTTTGAATGTGGTAGACCTAGGAGAGGATACCAGGACGCAGTCAGACAGGCCAGGCCATCAGCCACATCACGCAGGCTGAGTACAAAGGCCACGTCCAGTCAAGGTTTAAGTCTGTGCTTGGACACTTCAGTCTTGGTTAGAGGATGCTACCTTTGGATACTCCCTTAGCCTTAGAATGTGACCTTGGGAAGCTGGAGGCACATGGTTGACTCTCTTAGTTGTACTTGCATTAAGGTCCGAACCCCTGAACTGTGTCATAGAGAAGACCAAGTTCTCGGGGAGCCCAAGCTAAGTGAAGTAAGGTCCACTAACAAGTAAGTTACTCCTCCAAGCCGGGCAGCACAGCTGGAGAGTTGTCAGCGTGGCGAACAGTAGCACGTTCTGTTGGGCTCAGAACATGCCACTCTGTCACGTTGGACCAGGCAGGCCCAGGGTCGGAAAAAAAAAAAAATCAAATAGTTCTCATCCCTCATGAAAGAAAAACACTAAAAATAAAATCCACACCATGAAAACTAGGAAATATAAAAAATGGCAGCTATGACATGGAAAATGACAATTTTAGAGCAATTATAAACGAAAGGCAAAGTGTCATTAAAGTTAAGGCAATGTTATTAAAAGATGTGTTAATTTTCAGTTAAATTTTCTATAAAAGACCAATTAGTTTAAAAGCCTTGACAGCATTAACTGTGAAACATAAGCTCTGGTAATTATACTGTAAAAAAAAACAAAAAGAGGAAGAAGCTCCGGCGGGCGTGTTGGAGACAGGCTGGCTGAGGGCTTCCACAGAGTGGCTAGATGGCGCTGCGGGCTCAGAGTTCCAGGTTGCAATCAGTGGCCCTTCCCCAGCATTTGTTGGTTTCCTCAAAGCCCACTGCTCCGTCTACTTACAGGGACCGAGAACCATCAACAGTTAGAGGCCAAGGGGCCACACCTATGCTTTTCGAAGTAGGATTTTGTTTTTTTTTTAAATATACATATTTTTATTAATTTTAGAAAGACAGGAAGGGAAAGGGAGAGAGAGTAACTGATGTCAGAGGAAAACATCCATGGCTGCCTCCTATACACTCCCTACTGGGAATCAAGCCGAGAACATGGGTATATGCCCTGACAAGGAATCAAACCAGTGACCTTCTGGTACATGGGATGATACTCAACAGACTGAGCCACCCTGGCCATGGCACATGCCTGGGTTGCAGGTTTGATCCCAAGATTTTACATAAAATATTGATTAAGTTATATGAAGTAAATATTTAGGTCATCTCAACTATGACTTCTTAGTATTAGATACTCTCTAGTTTTAAAATCATTTATTATGATTTCAAAACAATTTTTTTTCTTTTTTTTTTTCTTCCAATATTGACTGATTTAACCAGTCAACAGAATGCTTTTCCTTTACATCTGAAATACTGAGGTCCTTTTTTTTTTTTAAACCAATGAATTGATTTATTTTAATAAAATAATTGTTAGAATGTCTACAAATTTATTTTCTGATTCTGTACTGGCTGTTGGACAAGATGAATAGAATGCACCTCAGGATCCTGAAATACTGAGGTCCTTTTTAACAATACTTACGTTGGCTCTTTTTCCTTCTCTCTCTACATCTGAGCCAGGAAAGGTCCCTTTTTCAGTATACAAGATCATGGGGTGCGGTTGTCCACCACGTGTGCTGTTACACTCCCCCATTGGCCTTACTCTGAAAGGGTGATTATAATGCAGAAGCTCTTGCTGAAGTTCTGTGTCCAGCACTCACCCATGTGATGTGCTGCAAGACTGTAGAGGGGTCTCCTGCTTCTAATGTGAGGCTATCTGGCAGTGGGGACAAGTATGTCCCTTGGAAAACTTTGGAAATGTTTGTACATGTGCCCTGAGCCTCGTGGTGGCCTGTCTCCCATTGCTGCAGCCATGTCCTAGGATGCAATCCCCTCCTCCCATGTCCCCACTCCAACCCTCACTCTGCCACTCCTGGGCCTAAATGGGATCTAAACTGGGTCTTAGGTCTTAGAATAAAGGCAGACTAAGAAGTGTGGATTCAGCGATGAAATGAATGGCCTTGCTTTCCTCCCACATAAAAAATAATGTAGCCGAGGCTGGTTTGGCTCAGTGGTAGAGCATCCGTCTGCGGATGGAAAGGTCCCAGGTTCGATTCCGGTCAAGGGCATGTACCTTGGTTGCGGGCACATCCCCGGTGGGGGGTGTGCAAGAGGCAGCTGGTCGATGTTTCTCTCTCATCGACATTTCTGGCTCTCTATCTCTCTCCCTTTCTCTCTGTTAAAAATCAATAAAATATATTAAAAAAATAATGTAAAATATTTTTTAAAAAGGAATGAGCTGACTATTTCTGTCATTCTGGCCCCGAGTCTGTGTTATCTATCAGAGCTTGCTGTACACACTTGTCTAGATGCCTCACATGTTTTGGTTATACAGTCCTTACAACCACTCTATTATTACATTTTACAGATCATGAAATGAGGCACAAAAGTGATAAATAACTTTCTAAGGTCATCTAGCTTCTAAGGTCAGCATTGAACCCACAGTCTGACTCGCCTCCTTGAACCATGTCTATTTATCCATCTATCCATCCATCTACCCATCCATTCATCCAGCCATCTATCTATTCATCTATCTGTCTCTCTCTCTCTCTCTATCAATTCATGTACCTACCAATCTACCCAGACAGATAATAGACATATATCATTATATACACACATACACATGCACACTCACACCCTAGCTTCATTTCCCCCTTTACTCATCCTTGTTCTGCCTCTGCCCTGCCCTGCCAAGCTCTGATAGAGGATACATTCTCCTAGGGATCTGACTGGTTCTGAATAACACTCCTTGTTTCCTTTGACCTTGGAATTTTGTATTACGTGGGTATTTTTGTGAATATTTCCATGAGGAAAATGAATTCAGCCCCACTAGCTCTCATCTGATCTCAGAAGCCCTCATAGAATGCATTGCATGTACACTTGGTCTTATGACTGTGCTTATTTTACTAATGAGAAAAGCCCAGAATGACTAGGCAACTTCCCCTAGACGTAGACCTAGCGATGGCCAAGCAGGATGGGAACCTGTCCTTCCCTGGTTTGTTCCCCACTATGTGTAGCCTGGTGACCTGTTAAAGGAACTGCTGAAGTACAAATGCAGCTGCCTTTCCTAACCTGCTCCCGAAGGTACGAACATCCTCCAAAGCCACTGGCAATATTTGGTTCGATTTTATTTAGCCTGTTTGATTCTTCTTACAAGGGAGAATAGAGTACAGACCCTTAAATGAGGGTGTTTTTTTTTTCTTTCTGTTTTTTGTTTTTTCTAATTAGGCTGGGTGACAAATGTCTTCTTTTGAGCTTTTCTTTGACATCCTACTAATTCTTTTAAAATACCAATTGTTTTACTCTTGACAGATCTGTTATGTGTCAGATGTGAGACAAATGTACACATAAAGGAAGCTTCTCTAGTCAGCTGTATTTGCCTCAGACTCCTGAGGTTATGTAAAAACCAAAAGTGCACACACCAGGACACACACCTCACCATGAACTTCTCTGGCATATTTAATTGATTTCTGGGTTAGACTGTATCAAAGCACGTGATTTGTTGAGCATGTGGCCTTAATGATGCCCTTAGTATTTCCTTCCAACACAGAAGTCGTTTTGTGTAGGGTTTTGTTTGTTTGGTATATTTTTTTAGAGAGAGAGAGAAACAGTGAATGCTATTCCATTGTTCCACCCATTTATGCATTCATTGGTTGCTTCTTGTGTGTGCCCTGACTGGTGATTGAACCCCCAACATTGTCATATTGGGACAATGATGCTCTAACCAACTGAGCCACCCAGCCAGAGCCAACCAACACGGAAGTTTTGCCATTGTTGGGGGAGGCAGCTTCTAGGCACATGGGCAGCAGGGCCTCAGGGGCAGCCCTGCTTGGGTTAGCAACCCAGGCCAGGTGCACGTCGGTACACAGGAAAGCGGTATGTACAGCCCTGGCAACACCAATGATGGGAAACACCAATCATTCCGACTTTAGCTCTTTAATAAAAATCGTCTGAATTGGTTTTTAAGTCAGGCTTTCTTGGCAGAACCAAGTAGGAGAGAAAAATAATGGAATAATTGGAGGCTGCTGTCTTTTCACTTCCCACATAAAATTATTTGAAGAGACAGGCCAGAACTTTAAACAGGAATGCCAAGAAGAGTTGTAATTTGGATGCCAATTGTCGTGACTTTGGGGGGTGTGCCTGAAGGACTTCCCCCGCCTCTCTCCGTCTCTTGCAGACATACTTCAACGACAACATCCTCACCCTGATCCGGACCCTGGTGACAGGAGGAGCCACGCCGGAGCTCGAGGCTCTGATCGCAGAGGAGAATGCACTCCGAGGGGGCTACAGCACCCCCCAGACGCTGGCCAACAGAGACCGCTGCCGCGTGGCCCAGCTAGCGCTGTTGGATGGGCCCTTTGCGGACTTGGGGGTGAGTGTACCATGCAGAAGTCACCTCAGCCTGCTGGCTGGTAGTCGCTTGGTCTGAATGAACGGTGGCAAGCTAAGCATCTGTTTTTTCCTACCTTCTAAAGTAAATAGGAAGTGATGTTTACAGTTTACTGTATATGGGGCCCTGGGCTTTACATGTAATCATTCATTTGGATTCTCATGGCAGCCCTTCTATTATCAGACACTCTAAGGAAACTGAGGCTTGGAAAGAAGGGAGACTGGCCCTATCAGGAATCTGCATCAGGAACCCTGGCTCCAGAGCCTGTGGCTTAATCATATCCCTTAGGTATCGCCTCCCAAGAGAAAGAAGACAGTAGGTATCGCCAACATGCAGTCAATTCTGGGAACACTTTCAAAGGACCTTGGCATATCTTTCTATAATGATAACACCAACCTATTTAAGCCCAGCTGTACACGAATAGCCCATGAGGAGCTTTTACAAATTACTCCTGGCCATGGTTTCTGAGTTTTGGTGTCTGAATAGGACCCGGGCACTGGTGGATTTCAAAACCCTGCCACTAATTATGTGCATTCACGACTACTGGCCCAACAAATAGCATATCCTGTGGACCCTTTAAAGTCTCTAATTCCAGATGCAGGTCTTCTAATAATCTGAGGCTGGACTCAACCACTCTCCTCCACTCCTTCCCTGCTGCAGGGGGACCGGTGCCAGCACTGGGGCAGAAGTCTGCAATCTTAACTCGTATTCCCAGCCTACTCCAGGATGCGTTCAAGGGGAGGGGCCACAAGTCTTGAGAACCAATAGACCCACTGCACACACCATAGTACTGCTCAAGGAGAGGGTCACTTTCTCCATTTCTTCTGAAACCCCAATACTGACTTGCATTATATACTAGGTCACTTATGGCAGGGACCTATTAATATTAGACTGGGCTTTTTTGAAAGGCAGCTTCCAGTTAGTGGCTCTTTTTTTTTTTTTTTTTTTTTTTTTTTTTTTACAGAGAGGAAGGGAGAGAGATAGAGAGCTAGAAACATCAATGAGAGAGAGACATCGACCAGCTGTCTCCTGCACATCCCCTACTGGGGATGTGCCCACAACAAAGGTACATGACCTTGACCGGAATTGAACCTGGGACTTTTCAGTCCCCAGGCCGATGCTCTATCCACTGAGCCAAACCGGTTTTGGCAGTTAGTGGCTCTTTTAACTACCATCTACTTACTACTATTTTAAAAGGATCAAGAGTTTAAATAATAGTAAAATTGGGCTCTGATATGCCTCCATGGAAATCCCAGTGACAGGAAGGACAACGGCAGTCACTTTATCCCCAGGGAAGTCCTCTTCAGTGCCCTTCCTATAATGATAACCCCACCCTGCAGCCTCCTGGCTGCCCGAAGCCAGCATTGCCCAGTGAGTGAATGTGCTTTCACATTCCACACGGGGCTCCAGACCCTGGGAAGGTGGCTGTGAACTGATTAGGCCTGTGAATTCCGGTTATTCAGCCTGCAGAGCGCCAGCTCCTGGGGAAACATTTTCCCTTCCGCTCTTGCCATCTCTGAGGACCGTAAATTGTGCTTTTCACACAGTCCTTACCTGATAGAGTCTGTCGCCATCATACCTGGTGGGGTCTTTTCTTCTTGCAGGGATTTTAATTATCACTCGAGCAGCTTTGACGCCACGGTCAGATCACAGAGACTGCAGCCATGCTGCGGCTACACATAATCACCAATGTGCCGGGCTGGTGTCTTCTCCCCAGCTAGCGTGCATCTGCAACCCTCAAGCTTCACACCCTCCACGAGAGGCAGAGGTGCCTTCTTCTTCGAGCTCTCGCTGTTTACAGTGGAAAGCTAGAGAGAACTGAGGGAAAACTTCATTATTATCAGCTTCCCAAAAAATCACCAATTTGGGGTGTAGGCTGTTAACCACATTGCCTTTTATAGCCACCGTCCCCTGGCACAGACCCTCCAGCTCAGGAGACACCGAAACAAGCCTTCCTGAAAAGGCCCACTCCCCCTGGACCTCTCCCTGCAAGCCGATAAAATGATGCTTCTCTCTGTTGTCTCCCAGGATGGTGGTTGTTATGGTGATCTGTTCTGCAAAGCTCTGAAAACGTATAACATGCTTTGTTTTGGAATTTACCGGCTGAGAGATGCTCACCTCAGCACCCCCAGCCAGTGCACAAAGAGGTGAGTATACTCCTACTCCGCTGTCCCACCAAAATGCAGAGACATACATGACCTGCCTGTTCCCTTAGGAAGGCAGAGGCCTGCATACACGCTCTCAGCAAGCACATCACTCTGCTGGCACTTGACTCAGCACTGAGTTTGGAGGTTAGAGGGAACTTTTTTCTCATTATTAATCGCAGATGTGAAGACATTGTGGGAAGAACTCGGGTTTTATAGGAGAGCTCTATCCCCTAATTTAGTGGTCGGCAAACTCATTAGGCAGCAGAGCCAAATATCAACAGTATAAAGATTAAAATTTCTTCTGAGAGCCAAATTTTTTAAACTTAAACTTCTTCTAATGCCACTTCTTCAAAATAGACTCTTCCAAGCCGTGGTATTTTGTGGAAGAGCCACATTCAAGGGGCCAAAGAGCCATATGTGGCTTGAGAGCCCTGGTTTGCCGACCACTGCCCTTATTATAAACATTTGAATAGGAGCATCTCCTTCAAACTCCAGCCACTGGGATAATTCTGTTGGTACCTAATGTAGAGATATTTCATTCTGCTAGTATTTAAGGTAAATGAGTCCTTTGTCATCTTGTAGATGCTCAATTTTTACTTAATACATTTTTGATTGACTCACTCATTTTATATATTTCTTTAAGAAAATTATATATTTATCATCACAAGCAGAAAAATATATGCGAGTTATATTTTTCTAATATGTATTAAGATAAATTCGTAGCAGCCCTGAATTAAAAGGACATCCTAGAATGATCAAAATCAGTGAGTGTACATATACCCCAGGTAACAGTGCTATAGAGCTGAGTGTTTCGCAGCTTTGCTTGCATATTAGAATCACTGGGGGTGCCGTTAAAAACAGTACTCAGATTAGTCTGACTTAACCTATCTGGACTGAAAATAAAATTGTTTAATGCTCAGGGATTACTGTGTACAGGCAGGGTTGAGAATGCTTGCTGTAGCCAGTGGGTTCTCAAAGTTCACTGAGCATGAGAATCACCCGCAAAACTTGCTAATCCACAAATTGTGGGACCTCATGCCCAGAGAGTCTGATTCAGTAGGTTTGGGGTGCAGTTGCTTAAGAATTGGCATTTTTAAGTTCCCAGGTAATGGGAACTGGCCTGAGGACCACACTTTGCAAACCACTGCTGTCAATGAAACAGTTATTTTTTTTTTTTTAAGTCATGTCTGGTGTGAAGCAGAGAAAGCCTGGTCACACCGAGGAGCACAGTTAAAACAGGACTCATGGACAAGGGGGTGTTCTATTTTCTTCAGTTAGTCAAATCCCCACCAAAGTAGATTTTTAAAAGATAAAGAGTGAGGAAGGACTAAGAAGATGCTACCTTCTGGTAAGCAAAGATCCTGGGGTGTGTACCGAGGACTATCAGAACGTTCTAGAATGAAAGGTACAGTGCAGTCCATGCAACCTCCTATGTGCACTTGGGCTACTCAGGATGGGAAGCAAACCTGACATGGTTGACAGGGGCCCTTAGATCACAGGCAGCACAGTTTGGTTTTTCCATTACCGGCATTGATTCGGCCTCTTGGCATGTCAGGCTTTATGGCTGGTCTCCTTTGTTGAGATTAAATAAAGATTTAGTTCAACTCGGAAGATAACGTGTAAGGCTTTGAACCAACCATCAGTCCACCTTCCAGGGGGTCTGGTAGACCTGGGGAGCCAGGTGATTCTTTCTGATGCAGAGTCAGATGACATCTCCACCCAGCCCTCCTCACCCTGTGACCTCTCTGTTCTCCCCGGCCAGGTATGTCATCACCAACCCCCCGTACGAGTTTGAGCTCGTGCCGACGGACCTGATCTTCTGCTTAATGCAGTTTGACCACAACGCCGGCCAGTCCCGGGCCAGCCTCTCCCATTCCTCCCACTCGTCCCAGTCCTCCAGCAAGAAGAGCTCCTCCGTTCACTCCATCCCGTCCACAGCAAACCGACCGAACCGGCCCAAGTCCCGGGAGTCCCGAGACAAACAGAAGTACGTGCAGGAAGAGCGGCTCTGATATGTGTATCCACTGCCACCGTGTGTGAAACTGTATCTGCCACTCATTTCCCCAGTGGGTGTTTCCAACAGTAACTCTCCCCGTTTCCCCCTGTAGTCCCCCCCCCTTTTTTTTACACATATTTGCATATGTATGATAGTGTGCATGTGGTTGTCATTTTTATTTCACCACCATAAAACCCTTGAGCACAACAGCAACAAAGCAGAAGGACCAAAAGTTATTTATGATTCTAGGAGGACAATAACCTAAAGGCAGGCTCCAGCCCTAAATAGCTCACTGTGGGAACGAGGTCGCAGATTAGCGGAGCGCTCGGCAATCCCTGAAGTGAACTAGTTAGGGAAGTTGATGTAGAAGAAAAGTGCAGTCTGACTTATCAGGATGATCAGGGTGCTTTGGGTTTTGATTTCGTTCTTGTTTTCCTTCCTTCCTTCCTTCCTTTCTTATATATACACACTCATATATACACACGTTTATTTGAAACAAGCAACCAAAAAGGAACAAAAGCATGTAGAATGTTTCCACTCTCTGGGCCGAAGGATCTCAAAGCTTTTGCAAAGCTTTCCCCATTTGTGTATGAGATGGTTAAGTCTCTGCTTGTTGTCAGAGCACATCTGAGGTTTTTTAGCTCCTAACCCGGGGCTTCAGGCCCAGAGCTGGCTTCCTTGGGGAGTTCAGATGAGCATTTCTACCCTCACGGTGGAGGAAAGAATCGTATTCCATTTGTGGATCTATCAAATTCTAGTCATTTAATTTAAGTGCAAAGAGGTTTGATTGCATATTAAATTGTTATTCTGTCTCCTTACGCTGCCATATGAATAGTTATTTTTTTTTTCCTTTCCCTTTTGACATTTGGGATGAAAAGCCATATGTATCATAAATATCAGATGTAAGTCATTAAAAACTGCCTTCCTGGGACTTTTACATCTTTTAAAAGGTGAATTACTTACCTTATGTACAGAATAAATAATGCTCCGGAAAGAGCAAGTATTTTTCCACACATTCTCAGGGGACCTTTTTACTCCCCTCTGTTTGATTAGCTAGGGCCCCCATGCCTGGTAGGAGCGAGGGCTGGGGCCACAGTGCCGAGAGAGGAAGATAAAGCCAGCAGCAGATCATTGTTTCTTAGGAGCCAACATGCTAAATAAGTCGGAATGTAGGAGGATCGAGCCACAGTTAACTCACAGAGACAAAAGCCAGCTACCACCTTCAACTGTTGGTACAGCTGCATGACGCTGGCTGTCCCACAGCCGAAAGCCGGTGGGAAAAATTCCTCCTCATCAATTTCTTAATCGTAGCCAATTCACGTAGGCCGGCGAAGGGCAGTCATAGGCAACTGCTCCTTGTCACTTTGAGCTGGGGAAGAGGAGGAGGAGGAGAGTACAACAGTGAGCCAAACACATTTTGGTATAATTATTGTTTTCTTTTGTTTTCTTTCTTTCTTTTTATCAGTTAGTAAGCATGAGAGGAAAGGTAGAAAAAATGCCCTCTTTTCAGTACACAGTGGTCAGGTGTTTTATGCATGCAAATCACGCTTTAGGCAGTGCGGTAGTTGTTACAAACCGGCCATCCACCTTAACCGAAGTCTTACGCAGATGAGCTAGCCCTGGGCTGGTAAATACATATTTAACATGTTTACTTAAAAAAAATCCCATCCAACAGCAGAGGGGTGGAGGGGAGGAGGAACATGTCACAGCTGTACCATCTCTGAAAAGGTGTTTTTATGGTGAATGGTTTGGTTTAGAGTTTGGATGCCCTGCTCCCCCAAGCATGGTAGTTTTGGAGATTCGCTTGCTGTGTGAATTGACAAGCACTTTTACTGACAAAATGGTGAGGCTCAATCAGAACCTGGATCCCCACACCACAGGCAGTATTCAAACCAGTGAAGGGGTGTGGGATAACTGTATACATGTATATTACAAAGCCCTATGAGTGGAAGGTTTTCTTTTCCAAATTATTTTTGTCCCTAGATATTGATTTATATATTATGTATAATTACCTATCTTTTTATATATAACTATATAAATATGTCTCTCTATATACACATATATACACATGTGTGTATATATATATGTGTGTATACACACACACACACACACACACACATACACACACACATGCCCTAGTTTTGGATCTTGAAGACCTCTCCATGCCTTCTTTGCAAAGGAGGCTATCAAGTAATGCCCTCAGAACATTTATAACTATAAGAATGTGCCAGTTAAAGTGCTCAACAGGAAATATGACAGTTTAAAAGCCTTGTAAAACTCACATAGCTTACTTCTCTCTCTAAAGTGCAACAAGGATGAATAGAATGGGCCAAGGTATGACAATTAATGGTTCTGCATGACCTAGCCACTGCTGGGGGTTTTTCTTCTATACCGTTGTCCTTGTGAAAACTTTTGTGACATTAAAAAAAAAAAGGAGTTTCAAATTTTATTCTGTTATTGGTTTGTTTATTTTTATTTCTATTGTTCTGTTTGTGGTTTTCTTTCTTTTGTTTTGCTTTCCCCCCCTCCCATTTTCCCTCCTTCCCTCTCCCCTCCTCCTCTTCCTCCCTCCACTTTTTAAATTGCTCAGCGCAATGAGGCTGTGCTGCTGCTACTGCTAGACCCTTTAGAGTTTGTTTTGGTGTTCCTGGGTTTGGGGTTGGGTAATTTGGGGGGAACTTCTCTCCATCTGGCTTGCCTTTAAATCTGCACGTGGCCTCCCTGCCCACCTTGGTACCTTGCTCCAAGTTCAAAAGCATTTTCCCATCAAGAAACCCAGCTTCCTTCACTCCTCCCCCCATTTACCACCACCCCAACCCAGCCCCCCATCAGTCTGTCCACATCTCTGTGTTTATCTTGGCAAGACCTATTAAATCGAGGGATGATGCCAGGTGATAAACTTTTCTGGAAAATATTTGCAGTACTCCATTTGGCAAACCTGCTTCTCGGGTAATATTTCATCCTCCTTGCGATTGAAACCAGGAGGGTGATTGATGGCAAAAGCATTGGTCTCCTTGATGTTTGATCAGTGTGATCCCAAATTAAAACTGTGCAACTGTATGTAGCAACTCAGTGGCTCAAACCCAGTTATCTGGGGGCCAACGATTCAGTCTCTATATTACCCAGGTCTCTCCTGCCACCTGCCTTTCAGACATTTGTTACATTCCAACCAGAGATTGGGCAGATAGAGAGAAGTAGATCTAAAATGCCTTTTATATGCAATCTGTTATCAGCTCTGATGAGATGATATTGTGATGAGAATGGAGTGGAACCAGACTGTGACGTGAGATGACATTGGGGGTTTTTCCTGGACTTGGGCACACAGTTGAGAGTTGACTATACTTGGGTAATGAATATATTCAGTGATGGAAAAGGTATAATGATTATTACTTCTATTTTATTAGCCAAAACGACTATACTATATTTTCCTCCATAGGAGTAAGACTCTCTTCCATTGTTTTCTGTTGACCCCAAACTTCCCATTCCTCCTTCAGATTCTCTTAGGGAGGAGGCATACAAGTTTTATGTCTCTCTTCTTCCCTCAGCCCCCTAAAAAAAATCTAGTAGGTAAGGGTAGAAAGTGAGTTATGCGAAGAGAACAAATGTGCATTTGAACAGAGCAACAGGTCGAAGCTCAATTACCTGCTCCATTCTGGAAGGGAAGCAATTTGTAAGCCATTCAGGCCAATTTGCTTTAGGTTTCAAAAGGAGTAAACCTTAAAAGTAAGTGGGTAGACCAGGAGGCTTCCACACCCTCAAAACTCAAATGATAATGAAACCATCAACATCCCTAATGATTGCTACTTGGGGTCCTTCCTGAAGCCAGTTCAAATGGCTAAAGAGAAAGCTGGACCCCTGTGTGTATATTTATATTTATACCGCTGTCCAGAAACGTCTCAAATTCTATTATAAACACTAAAAATTGTGCCCCAGAACTTAGCTCACAATAGGTGCTCATTACATACTTTGAAATACACTGACCTTAGACATTTTTATGTCTTTCATTATTTTATAAACTATCTCTACCCCATTGGCTTATCTTAAAAAACACAACAGATGCCTGTAGGTACCCTCAGGATGCTGCTGTGCTGTTGGCACTTTCTTGGGCTGGGCACCCAGTGCCTGGCAAAAGGGAACAGTCCTGCGAGCTCAGTGAGCGGAGATGGACTGTGTCTTCTGCCAGCATAGCCAAGATCCCAGGTGACCAGGAAAACCTTTTGCCCAGCTCTTCTTCAGCAAGGGAAAAGCCTAAAGGTGTCTGCATCCCAATAGAGATAATTAGATCAACCTGCCCGGTTCCTATAGCAACAGGCTCCTGAAGGAGGAAGAGAAGAGCACAGAAACTCGGGCCTGTGGAAGTCCAGACAGGATAAAAATCGATGTCTCAGCCAGCTCCTTGCAGCCCATCCTGCTTTGTCAAAACATGATAAAGAAGTAGCTGTGGGCACCTGTCACTAACCTGGTTGCCTGTCTCCCACCAGGAGGCTGCACATTCATTCCTTGGGGAAGTGAGAGGGATTATCTCAGCCACCTGCCACCTGAAAGGGAAGAGTGTGAATTCTGCCCTCCAGGCCTGGAGGGTCAGCAGGGGGCAGTTTGCTCTGCCCTGGCAAAGGCAGCATTAGATTTTCAGGAAAAGGAGGCAAATGCAGTCGTAGTGGACAATTGCAAAGAAGTGAGATAGTTTTCATAAATTGCTCTGGTGCTGGTACACAATGACTTTCATTTCTATAAAATAGCCACACTCTGCCCATGGAGATGAAAGGAGACCGTGTGACGGTGTGGGTGGGGTCCCCTGGGAGCCTGGGGATCTGTAAGACAGAAGGTGAATGCCAGACCCCCTCTCAGAAACGGGCAATGTGAAACCACACAGCATCACCTTCGAAGGCTGCACTCCTTGTTAGCTCTTCCTGTCCTCAACCGCTATGTCTGTCCAAATGGAATCTTTTTCTTTCAATCCCTTTCTCTCTGAACCTTAGCTTGTGACACGGTGAGAATAGGGGCAATTATTGCAAATGCCTCCCCTGGATCATCGTCTCTCCTTTAATGCATTCTCCTCTGGGGAGCAGTTATGTGAAAAGGCTAAATCCCACAGCGCTGACAACCCACCCACGGAGCCAGCAAAGAGACTCAGTTTTCACAGTGCAGCCTGTCTCTCTGCTTCTGGGCCCCCAGCAGTAATGTCAGCCCAGATCGGGGGCCTTCCCTTCCGTAGCCTAATATTCTGGTGGCTGGAGGAAATGCTGACCCTATTCTGGACCCTTGACTCTCAGTGATGAAAGTAGCAGGGGGAGATGGGGATGATTTGTGGGTGGGGTGCCTGTGGAGCAAAAGCCAATATTTCAAAGATACAGGGACCAGAGGAGGGTGTGAGCCCTGACCTCCCCAGACAGGTCACCCCTGATCCTCACCTTCCATAGGAAGACTACCCAACTAAACCCTCCTCTGTCGTCTCTATTGCCGCAATCCTCATTCTTCACATCAGAGTGCCCTCCTCCCGCAATTTATATACCTCAGTTCTCTACTCCCAGCTAATTTGCAGTTATACTGAAAAATACTTCCCATCCTATGTAGCAGCGATGTAGATGCTAGTGGTATTCTTGTGTGAAAGATGCAGAATCTGAGGGATAGATGTACTCATTGTCACCTAAGTAGGAAGCAGCAGAGTAGAATGCAAAACTTAAGTCTATACATTGTGCTACTATGGTATAATGCCTTGCTAATGTTACTAATAATTGCTAATAATCTTAACAAACAGCTCACACTGACTTACCCTGCTTCTGGACTTGTAGTAAGTGATTCATAGATCCCAGTCCCTTTTATCCAAGCCATAGCATTAGGACAATCCTATATTAGGCCCCATTTTACAGAAGAGAGACTAAAGCTAAGACACATTTTCTAATAACTTGCTCAGAGCCATGCAACTATTATAGGATGTGAGTGAGCTGGGTCCATCTGAGCTTAACCTACTGCCCCAAGCCGACACATCATGGCATGGCTGATCTGGAGAGGGGGCATTCACCAATGGCAGTCCAGCTCCCTTACCAGCATCTCTCTGCAGCTACTTCCAGGTTTCATCTGGCTCTACCGGGCCACTTGCCACAGACGGTGCAATGCCACTCCCGACCTCACTCCAGCGGGTCACCCGTGTGCTCCCAGGGAGGCTGCCAGCACTCGTCCTCAGGAAGCTGATTAACAAACAGGGCTGCTCTACTCTGGCAGCAAGGAGGCCCCCTCAGTCAGGCCTATTGCCCTTCTCATCTTAGGGATGAAATGCAGTTCCGGAAATCTTTCTAGCACATGGGCCGAGGCAAGGACAGGAGATACACTTGGGGATTTGAATTTATCCTAGACTCCCACTTCAGCATGCTTTTGAATTTCTTCCCTGAACACCCTTCCTTATGGCCAATTTTGTAGCCACCCATGGTCACGGTTTCTTTTTTGGAAGGCAAGATTCACTAAACCAGAGTGTCATTGTCATACTTGAAAACTCTCTCCGCTGAAGCAGAAAGGCTGGCGATCAAGTGTTTGTGCCACTGAAGCCCTTTGGGAAAAGCTCCTCATGCAGTGCCCCCGCCCCAGACAGTCCAGTACAGCGCTCAGAGCATTGGCATATTTCCACTTCCTCCACATCCTAGCTCACCAAGTCTCCTCCCAAGTTGAAAAGCCTGTGTCTCAGGCACAAGGAGACCTCAGCTTGCCTCCCGAATGGGCGTTAACACAACTTGTGTCAAAGCCCAATGGTCAAAACACAGGGGCTACTCTTCTTAGAATGCTCCTAGGGCGAGACATTTAAAATGAAGGAGAAAGCGGATTACATGGGGAAATAATTCTTTCTTTCTTACAGGCAGCAGAAGGAAATTGATATTCTCTGCTGCCGTGAAAGGTCAAAATGACAACTTTGAATTGAACTGTAAAGACTAAATTCTGAACAATTATTGTCGGCAGCAGCTGTAAAAATTTCAGCAAATTGCAGCTGTCTTAGGTCTTTCACCCAGAAGACCTACTGGCTTTCTTGTGCAGAGTTCACTCTCCCATCCAGCCTGGCGTGAGCAGCCTAGCACTAAATCCCTTTGCCAAACCAGTCCACATGGTGGCCCAGGCAAACGGCGCTTCTCACATCATCTTTACACATAAACCGCTGGAAAAAGTCATAGTTTGAAATTGTTTCAGCGGCCTGGCAATGCTTTTAAAACATGATAACAATCACACTTTACTCCTCTCTGAAAGGTTAGTTTAATCGTAGATCACAAAAAAATTGGTTTCCACAAATGCATAATGGTTCATCTATGTCACACTTGAACTAAATGGTTTTTTAAATGGAGCTGAAATTATTTTGATGTGTACACAGTCCCGGGTTTCTATACAACCTTTTTTAACCAGCCCATCAGGAACCTTGCCTCGAAAGCCTCATTAATAATTCAGATGTGCTGATGACTTTAAAAGATCTATGGAATTGAAGCTCAGGAAGAAAGAAAGGAGGAAAAAAAAAACTCCGCTTGACAAAAAGATAAATGAATGTAGAAAGAAGCTGTAGGAGTCTGGCAAGCTGTAGATCATCTCAGAACAGATTGTAACTTTATCATTCTGTCAGGGGGAATAATTTAAAGCACTTAATCAGTTAGCTTCGCTGTGAGGATGTAGCATTATGAATTCCTATCGTCCAATCTGTTCAAATCAAAGTGAACTTAATTATAATAGGTGAGAGAGCCAGAGCAGGAGAGAGGGGGGTTAGAGAGAAGAGTCCGCTAGGCAAGAAGTTTTCTGGGAGGTAGAGTGAGCTGCTGAACAAAGGGTAGTGAGAGCTTGCACCAAGGCACCCCTCCAGCCTCCCAGCTCCAGCCTTAGTGTTGACATCAAGGTATTGGTGTACTTGACATGGAGACAAAGTATAGACCAAGGAGAAATAAGCCAAGTGGCCATCAGCTAAACATAGATGCTGGACACGCACGTGCTCGCACACACAGCCCCCTCTGTCATGACAGGTGAACATTTTTTGTGAACATATCAGTTTAAGACCACCGGCAAGGCAGTTATGAATTCCTCTGATAGGCAGAAAAGGCGGCTGGATAGGGTACTGTCTCTACAGCAATGGGTGAGCTTGAAAGCTGCTCCCTTTTTTTTCTTATCCTAAGCCACTAAAAGGAGGCATGTGATTCCCAAGTTAGACGGTCCTATTTGCCCAGAACGTACACATGACCTCTTTTCCAGAAAATTTCTATCTGAGAAAGAACTGGGGTGAAGGCTAAGTCTTAGAAACAGGCATTGACTTGCTAAGAGGAAGCCAGGCCATTGCATTGCAGCCGGGCCCTGAACGCACCAACTCAGTATTCTTCCTCTGCCATCTCTGCTTCCAGGGTGGAAATGAAATGCCAAGTCTTCCTTGAGCCCCCTTGTCAACAGCTTGGGTTAGTATAGTCAGCTCAGACAATGCCACTAGGAATTCTTTTCATAACTTTATACCAACACCCAGTTTTCTTTCTTGAACTTTCAAAGTCCTCTGAAAACATTGGTTGCTATTCTATTCTACTCTAATCTCAGTGGCCAGCAAAATCTATGGGCTCAACTTAAGACCATCAAAACTGGCTTGCAAACAAAACAGAAGAATGGAACAATTGAGATACAAGTTGAAGTGTGCTTTTGACAAGCAAAGCTAAATGCAGACTGAGAGACTGAGACGCTGCGTGAGATTCTACATCACTCACTCTGCGGTAGAGACAGTGCTCCTTACATTCACTCAAATCAATTGACGCCCAAATCACTCCTCTGGTACCATGACTATACCTAGTAGTTGATATATTTAGCATCTTCTTCCCACCAAAGCTTTTCCGGTCACTAAAGGAACCCCAGAGAACATTACCAGCGTTTGCTTTCCAACCCTTCTGTATTCTCTGAGGTTCCCCCTGGTGCCTCAAGTCCTCATGGCCCCTTGGTCATCACTTGCTATGGCAACAGAGGTATGTTTCAGGTTCTGGGGTTCTCCCTACATTGCACTGTCTCTCTTAGCAATGACTTCATTGTCAGCTTCTATCTATTGCCTTTTTGCATTTTTCTATGAACTTTCCAAAAGCTTCGCCCTAGAACTAATTAAGCTTCTCATTTCTCCTTCTTGTTCTCTATCCATTTTTTGCCCTTTAGCAGAAAAGAAATGGTTTACAGATGAACCGGATAATGCCTATCCCAGAAACATTCAAATCAAGCCCATGAGTACCCACATGGCTAACCAGATCAACCAATATAAATCCACAAGCAGCTTGATTCCACCAATCAGAGAAGTTGAAGATGAATGTTGACTCCCAGGAGACCAGAACTATTTTTTTAAAGCCTGACAAACTTCATAAATGGTGATGTGACTTTTCTTCCTCTTACACACTGAATCACTGGTGGAAACCTTAGGATAAGCGAGATTTGTAAGAAAGATAAAGTAGACAGATCTTTCTCTTTGTCTGCCTTGAATATTGCTTCCATGTATTTTGGAGAAGAAAATGATTTCATTTATAAATGAATATACTAAAATAGTCATGTATAGCCTCTAGCATTTTAAATTATTTTTACTTATTAGAAAGAAAATATATTTTTTCTTTTTTTTTCATTGTCAAATATCTTCCCTAGATCTATACAATGCAAAATCAAAATGAATATGTGGCCAGACTCCTTAATGCGTATTTCTCTTCTTTCTCTCTTTTTCTTTGGGGAGAATGATGGTCACCACCACGATTAATTTTAACGAGAGGAAATGGATTATTTAAAAAAAGAACTTTTAATGGTTCAATGATGTAAACATGTATTTTAGTAAATTCAAAAAAAGATGAAAGGGGACAGGTGAATTCCCTGGATGGGTGTGTACTTTGGCTGCACTGACACCAGCTCTTAATAAATGGAAACGTTTATTTTCACAGTTGAAAGTCATATTTTTGTAGTTTTAGTTTTCCTTCTGTATTTCTTATCCCTTCGTTCATATACTTAAAGGGAAGACCTTCTCGCAGCTTTTCTACAATTGCCAGGTCAGGTTCAGCCAGCCACTGGCAGCCCAGAGCGTGGTGAGCACGCTGGCATGTGGACACTGAGGGCCAGATGCACAGGAGAAGTGGCTCTGCCTAGTGTCCTAGTGGTGGGGACTCCTCAGCTGTTAGCTTCTCACTTCATAGTTCGGAACCACCCTCGCAAGTGATTTCAACCATGAAAGCGTCTAGGGAGGCTTTCCCCAGGCCCCAAGTCTCAGAGATTTTAGCCTGAAAGTTTGTAAACACTAATGAATCATTTGGTAGGATGTGATACTCCATTCATTCTTTTCACTGAATTTTTGTTTGAAAGCCAGATATTTTCTATAACCAAGGAGATGGCTTTCGCCAGATTTTAGCTCTTTGGGCTTGCTTTCAGTCGCTGGGACAAAACCCCATAAAGTTGCTATAGCAATGTGAAAATTAGTAATAAAAGGAAAGCAATGAATGCACTTACAACGGACTGTTGGGAAGGGCCTTTGAAATTTACCAGCAATGAAATCAAACGTATGAGCCACTTCAAACTGTGGTCAAAACTCATTCTAGCCACCAGACACAATCCCCACGTCCCGGAGCCCTGCTGTCGTTTGCATGCCCAGTGTACAGTGGTCCCGGCAGCTGTCCTATTCCAAACGAAGGAGCAAGTCTTTTAATTTCAAAATTATCCATCTTTGATACAGTCAGCAGGGTCTCTGGAGAAGCATGGATGTGATGGTGATTTTTTATTTTCCTTGAAAATGTAAACTGTGGACACTTGAAGAAACCAAACTTACCAAAATACCCCTGCCAAGTCCCATACTATCTATCCCATTAATTCTTTAGGCCATGACCTTGTGGTACTAGTGCGTTAGTGCAAATCTGATCAGAGGCAAGCCATGCGGTCACCATGGAAACATAGGCCCACTAAGTCCTCCAATTACAACATAGGCAACACGAGCTTCCGCTTCTGTCCACTCCTTGCGGAGCCAACGTCCTCGTGCTTGTAGGTGCCGTCCTGAAGTGACTTGTCAGACTGTGTCGTCACATTCTGTAGCCTTAGCTCTATAAAAGTATTGTGAATATAATGTATGTCCAATTGGGTTGTTTAAAAACTACTTATAACCAATCGCTAGCCTACTCAGCAGACTAAAACGACGTCAGCAGTCCCTATTCAGGCTTCTAGGCATCTCCTGGTTTCCATTGTGGGGCGGATCTCTCTCTGGCAGGGGTTTGACAGCTTCCCTGGGAGCCTGGCCTCCTTTTGCACATGATTTTGCATTGGACTTTCTCAGCACATTCACACCAAGCCACGCTCTTGTTTCCTTCACGAACCCTGGTGGACTCTTCCCCACTCATGTTCCTGACGATAATTTCTGAATTTGTCCTGTTTGGTCTCCTCCGGTGGGTGATGGTGGCCACCTAAAGACCTCAGAGGTACTTAGGCCCCTGAGCCCCCTGCCCACTGCCCTCTACTCCTCGGGCCACACCAGTCAGTCTGAAAGCAGTAAACTCCCTGCCCATCATGGCCAGAGACTGGAATCTGAACTTTTTTTTTATTTTTTTAACTAAAAAGCTAAGATGGTTTTCTACAGCAAAGGAGTCCCCCCAAACACTAATTAGTGGGAATCCATTTTTCTTCTAAGGTGGAGCAAAGGAGCAGGAAGCTCAAGCTGTTTGCTTTGGGAATAATGAATTGGCCAGAAGAAAAAAGCAGGCATGTGTTTGAGGAGGTGTGCAAAACGATTGGTTGGTCACTCCATAGACAAAAGCTGCTTCCTGGTAGGCAGAAGTGAAATGGAAACAGAAGCAAGACGGTAGGGTCCCCGAAGGGCACCAGGAAACCAGAGCTTCCAGGCTTGTTTCTGTTCTTTGAACCCTCTGTCCCTGAGGGTGTGCTCATTCCACCTACCAGGGCAAAAATTTATCTTTATGGATAAATTCAGGATAGAGCAATGATGGTCATCATTGATACAGTCAGTGTCATAAGGCTCTGTCTGATCTGCCATCCTAGCTTGCGGTTCAGAAACGCTGTTTTACCAAACTAAAGATTCTTGCATGCTTTGGAAATCAAAGGCTCACCAACAGGCTATTTATAAAAAACAGGAAGCACCTACTTATAAAGGCATCATCACCTTCATCATCTTTCTTTCTAGGAATGCTTTCACTTTGGTCTGAGAAATTTTATATTTTAAAACATGACCTTGAACCAATAGAAAACATCTTAAAAGTGATTGTGACTAAGGCATGTTGGAGGAACACTCAGACCTCTTTCCTTTGAAAGGTTGGGACATCTAATGATGTACTTTGTACAGAATGTAACTGAAGACTTGAAATGAACTGAAAATTCAAACTGAGGTTGGAAAGGGGGGAGGTGAAAAGGCATAAGAAAATTGGGCATATTTTCATGTGAAAAGGCAAGAGTCCAACTTTCCTACTAATGGTTTAATTGAGGATTCTAGAGCTACATCTGCTAGTAGATGGGTTTTGAAAATGTCCTTGAGCTCTCTGAGTCTCAGTGACTGCTCTGTAAATGAGAGTGATTCATCTTGATGACTCTAATGCCCCTTTCAGAGCTAAGTTAGGAGTGGGAGCGTGGGACCCAGCCTTTGGGGACAACTTGTGTTCTGGGCTGTCAGGATGGTCCTCCTTGCTGCATCTCCCAGGCAGCACTCCCGAGGGAACTGTGCACTTTCTGCTCTGGGCACACAGCAGTTAGGTTCATTCTTAACACTTTGGAGCCTCTTAAGGCTCAAAACACAAATTTCAAAATTTAAATACTCCTGGAACACATCGGTTAGATTTTCTGTGTGTCCCTAAGGTTTTCTTTGCAATCTCATTCCTGCTTGCCTTTTTTTTTTTTCTTGGCTCAAGGTTCAGTTTTGGTCAATCCCTCCATTTCTAATTCGTATCTCGAATTTCCAATATGCAGTTATAGTCTCATGAATACTGGATTTCTGAAGTTTTCTTCAGTTTTTATTTCTACATGGGTATCTGGGCTTTAGGAAGTAATTAGTCTTACTTCTCATTTTATTCCATATTCTCTGTTTATTTGATTTTTTTTCTTCCATTAGTACACTAGCTATCTCTTTGCTACTTGCATTAATAAGTCTAATTTCAATATATCATTCTTCATTGTGAAAGAGAACCTCAGTGAAGGAAACAAGAAAGGAAGGGGTAAAAAGAAGAAGAGATTAGAACAAGAGAGAAAAACAAAAAAAACACCAAACCAATTGACTGAGATGTGAACTTCTTACTCATAGGAGTTGGAATCTATTCAACTTGGACATGGAGTTCCAGTCAGGATCTGCTCACTTTCTCTTCTGTCTATCTTATATTCTGTTCTTATTTGCTGCCTTTGCAGTGGTGGTAAAATGACTAATCATCAAACCTCAGGAAAGGGCCTTTACTATTTAGGATTTTTAACTCATCCTCTTTTAAATACAGAAGGAACTGAGAATTCACTTACAACTCACCTGGCAAATTCCCTTTGTGTCCCTTTTTCACTCGGCCCGTGTTCCTGAAGAGCATTTTTTTTTCTCATTTAGAACAGGTGAATTAACATTTAGATCCCATGTTAATTGGAGGAAGCGAAGTAGCCCTTTGGGTTTATTTATGAAAAAGTAGTAATTAGAAATGATTTCTAGCTGGTTTGTATTGGCGTGGCCACATTGGTTGTTTAAGTGAAGTCTGTTTTGATTGGTAGTTCCCCTTGCTGTACCAGTTGTTCATATTTTAAAAATCTCCATACAACAATTCAAATACTTTAATCTTATTTCCCAAAGAACTGCAGAGTCTAATTTGCCATTCCTATGATAAGCTTGCTTGGAACATGTACAGAGAGAAATCAGGCCACATGCCCCAAGCAGCAGCCCTTTGTCCCTACAACAGTCAAAGGCTTCCTGATATCACAGCCTCACAGGGTTATGCTGAGAGGCCATTTTCAGATAGGCTATCTGTACCAGACCTTCCTTTTTTGCCTTTTTTTTTTTTTTTTAAGAAAATTGGCCTGAGACTTCCATATCTAGAAATAGTCCAAGCTCAAGATATTCATCAAGGAGCTAGGAAAAAAGAACCAAAACATAAGGGTATAAACAGCATTTTAAAGTGCCAGCCAAGAGCACGTATGTTATGGCAAGGGATAGTGCTTTGGGTTGAAAGGAGAGCAAGGTTGCATTGGCCTATG